GGAATAGTCTAACGACAATTTAACGCATTTTTTTCATCTTATGCAAGTACAAATATATTGAAACTTTGAAAAAGAATGCATGTATCCGGTTATAAATGATCATGTGAAATCAGTTAGCATGTTTTTAGTATTTATTTATGTTGTAGTTTCGGGTTGATATTTCTCTATTGAGTCTTCTGTTAATTGGTCTATTAATTAAATCTTTTCATCGATTTGTCGGTCTGCATTTGTCTGTCTGAATCGGTCTGTATCGGCCTTCCCTTGCCTCTCTCCCCAGAGGCTTACATTCCTGAAAATCGAATCCCGACTCTACACTCTAGACTCGCGACTCCTAGCTCCCTATAGAATTCTCCCAATGTACTTTAACAATATATACAGTATTAACTATTCATGATTAGGTACCACCCACTGCACATAAGTAATAGGGCACGTGCAGCAATTTAATCTAACTTCTAATTTAACCTCTAAACAAACGTTCCCCCAACCGAAAAAATAATACTAGATGTACCATATTGGAATGACAGTTACCCCTGTCTGCTTTGATAGCTCACACTCTCGTTCCTATCTCTTTGTCATCCATTACTGACCCGGTAACCACCAGATGGGTAGCCCTATATATAGCACTATCTACAATTCAACAGTCTCCCTGTCGGTTACTGCACGGTGTTACCCAAATCGTAAGATTTGAACTCAAATGTATGTTTGACCAAAGTGCTGCTCGCTATATACACGTATAAACTTTATTTATTTTACAACAATTATTAAACAAGTTATTTAAACATAAAAAGGAGAAAACCAATGTTTTCGGACAGGTGACCGCGCAAACCTTTACACGTCCGATCGGGGAATCGAACCCCGGTCGCCTTCGTGAAAGCTAAGTGAGCTATCCACTGCGCCACCGGACCACCTGCTCTCTATTGATACCTACTATCCTACTTGTTATTAGAGTGTTTCATTCTTAATCATTTATTACCTAATTAACAGCCAATTTTGTTACATACCTTTATCATCAAGACTATAGTCTAGCATTCGTAATCCGAAAACAAAATGCGATTTGTTAATTATGTCCATATATACAGGCAGGTTTATGCATTTATAACACAATCAAATATATGTCTATAAAGCTCCCCATTGTCCTATACCTAAGGGACACATACAGGTATTTTTTTTATTAAGCAGTCACTGAAATTCCACAGTAATCAAATGATAATTTCTAACAGGTATTTCAAATAACAGTGCCAATCACTTGAAACACTCTTTCCCTAGTAACTAATTGATAAACAAGTTAACTGTCCATATATATTTGTGATGAGTTAACAACACATGTAGCTATATATCACGATTCAAACTAACAATCGTTATATACTATCGCTCACTGCACAGCTATAGATCACTATTCAAACTAACAATCGCTATATACTATCGTATACAACACAGCTAGCTATAGATCACGATTCAAACTAACAATCGCTATATACTATCGTTCACAACACAGATATAGATCACTATTCAAACTAACAATCGCTATATAATATCGTTCACAACACAGCTATAGATCACTATTCGAACTAACAATCGCTATATACTATCGTTCACAACCCAGCTATAGATCACTATTCAAACTAATTATCGATATATACTATCGTTCACAACACAGCTATAGATCACGATTCAAACCAACAATCGCTATATACTATCGTTCACAACACAGATATAGATCACTATTCAAACTAACAATCGCTATATACTTTCGTTCACAACAAAGCTATAGATCACTATTCAAACTAACAATCGTTATATACTATCGTTCACAACACAGCTATAGATCGCGATTCAAACTAACAACCGCTATATACTATCGTTCACAACACAGCTATAAATCACGATTCAAACTAATTATCGCTATATACTATCGTACACAACACAGCTATAGATCGCGATTCAAACTAACAATCAGTATATACTATCGTTCACAACACAGCTATAGATCACGATTCAAACTGACAATCGTTATATACTATCGTTCACAACACAGCTATAGATCAAGATTCAAACTCACAATCGTTATATACTATCGTTCACAACACAGGTATAGATCACGATTCAAACTAACAATCGCTATATAATATCGTTCACAACACAGCTATAGATCACTATTCGAACTGACAATCAGTATATCCTATCGTTCACAACACAGCTATAGATCACGATTCAAACTAATTATCGCTATATACTATCGTACACAACACAGCTATAGATCGCGATTCAAACTAACAACCGCTATATACTATCGTTCACAACACAGCTATAGATCGCGATTCAAACTAACAACCGCTATATACTATCGTTCACAACACAGCTATAGATAACGATTCAAACTAACAATCGTTATATACTATCGCTCACTGCACAGCTATAGATCACTATTCAAACTAACAATCGTTATATGCTATCGTTCACAACACAGCTATAGATCACGATTCAAACTGACAATCGTTATATACTATCGTTCACAACACAGCAATAGATCACGATTCAAACTAACAATCGCTATATACTTTCGTTCACAACAAAGCTATAGATCACTATTCAAACTAACAATCGTTATATGCTATCGTTCACAACACAGCTATAGATCACGATTCAAACTCACAATCTTTATATACTATCGTTCACAACACAGCTATATTTCACGATTCAAACTAACAATCGCTATATACTATCGATCACAACAAAGCTATAGATCACGATTCAAACTAACAAACGCTATATACTATCGTTCACAACACAGATATAGATCACTATTCAAACTAACAATCGCTATATACTTTCGTTCACAACAAAGCTATAGATCACTATTCAAACTAACAATCGTTATATCCTATCGTTCACAACACAGCTATAGATCACGATTCAAACTCACAATCGTTTTATACTATCGTTCACAACACAGCTATAGATCACGATTCAAACTCACAATCGTTTTATACTATCGTTCACAACACAGCTATAGATCACGATTCAAACTCACAATCTTTATATACTATCGTTCACAACACAGCTATATTTCACGATTCAAACTAACAATCGCTATATACTATCTTTCACAACACAGCTATATATCACGATTCAAACTAACAATCGTTATATACTATCGTTCAAAACACAGCTATATATCACGATTCAAACTAACAATCGCTATATACTATCGTTCACAACATAACAATTCTACATGGTTCCTAAAATAATCCATGATATGTCATATCCAGTTAAACACTAGCAGTGACGATGATATTCGCGTTCTTATTTTTGTCTTCCAGGATCCAAACCCAATGCACATCGGTATCAGTTTTAATATTGGCTACGCACAAAAAGATACTTTCGCATAGTGGTCATTGCCAAGTGCACCAATAATGTCACAGCCGCGGACGGTACAGCCTCCACATTTCTCCAGTTTCCCAAGGAACCTACCCTGTTTCTTATCTCAGATGATGAAGACGGTAATCTCCCTTTCCTGAAGAAACAACCATCCTTCCCGTGTCCCGTTAACGGCATCATCTCAAGTCAAAACCATGACTTTCTCTGTGCTATTTCCTAAATCCACAGGTGACTTCCTGCTGTCTATAACAACATTGAATTACACCGTGACAGATATTGGTACTTATTGCCAGCCCTCCAACCAAGATGACAGTTCTTACATGTAATAAGCAAAATTATTGAAACCGCTCGAAATCCTGGCCACGGCCCCCAAAAAACAACCGTTCGTTACACAGCATACGGAACAACACATGTGGACTTAGCGCGACAGGCAGATACCATACCCCTAAATCTTGTAGTAGGCTCTATGTACAAGATCTCCAAATCTAAGTAAAATGTCCCTTTTAGCATAGTTCCGGAACATGAAAGCAAATCTACCTGCACACAGATTATATAGAGTTACAATGCAACATCAAACACATAAAGCACACAAAGGGCTGTACCGGGCCATTCCAGGGCCATTACAGGCTCCACTGGTCGAGGCCTGCCTTGGCCTCTCACTGCAGGGGCTCACATTCTCGAACCTCGAATCCCAACTCTCAACTCTAGACTCCCGACTCCTTACTCCCTAAAAAATTCTCCCAAAGTACTTTTGACAGTCTACAATATGTTTCTACACGGTCTTACCTTAATCGTTAGATTTGATATTAAATGTACTTTTGACCAAATAGTTGCTCTCTATTGATACCCACTGTCTTACATGTTATAAGATGGTTCCATTCTTTGTCATTATGGCCTAATTCGGCCAATTGTGTTACAATTAACTAATTATGATTTATACGTCTGGGTCATAATCATTAGATAACTAACGCCTAAAATAACAAATCGCATATCACACTAATCACAAGGATACTTCAGTAGATATGTATTCGATACTGCGAGAAACCAGAACAAAAGAAATTAGTTAATAGACCTCTCACAAAACAAAAAACAAAACAAAAAAAACCGAAGTCGTGTCCCCTCGAAACTTAAATGTTCGTTGCATAACAATGTATCGCCACAAGCTAGCAAACTGACACAAAACATCAATCTTTTCTGTCAGGTTTGTTATGTGCACGGGATTTCAAACTTTTACATCTTGCAGAAGTAAACAACAATAAACATTATTTTGTTGACAGGTAATTTATTCCTAGTGGCAATTTTAAAAACTGTATAATTTCTTTTTTTAATGAAAATACCACATTTATATCTTCCTGACAAACTTCAAAACTACAAAAATGTATTCTTGTGGTAAATAAAGAAAAAAATTATGCGTTGGGTTTGTTTTTATTGAACACAGAAATTATTTACAGGTAAAAATAACCTATTTACAAGACGTATCATTAGGTAGGTCGTACATCAAAGAACGATCAGGACATGAACATGGTGTGTATATATAATTATATAACTACTGACACTAATGTTTAACGTAAACCTTCGTATTCATAATATACATCCATAATAAAAGTGATACATCATTGTCTTACAAAAGTTATCTCCTTTTCCAGTTAATTCAGTGACGTTTACCTTGCCTTGTGCATTTCATGATTTTTAGGAAAATTATAGAATCTCAAAATTTCCTTAAAGTACTACTATATTTGTGTTTCTATGTGAAATATTAGATGAAGGTATAAGTATTAGGTGTCTAGCAGAACTCTCAAAATTACTGGGATAGTGTAGTATAGTCTGTCTGCCTTTTTGTTTCGAAAATACATAAGTTCACATAATACCTTCTTCACCATGTTGTTATGGAGGCTAGTGTATTTCGCTGTTGCGGTGAGTATAACTTTTACTTCTAATTAAGTGTTGATTGTTTACTTTTTGACATTTATTACGTGTATGTATTTTTTTTATCTTACCACGTTATGTTAATAATTATGCAGGTGAGGGTTTCAGTAGGTAAAATTATTCAAATAAATCTACTAACGAGAAGTACTGAAGCGCCATAAAGGATAATGAGATGTTTTACATTGTAAATCGGAAGACAATGTCTTATTGAGGACTAGCGTCCATTACTCATTTGGATAATTTCTGGACATAATGCTTTATTGTAGGTTTGTTACAGTCTGTTAAAACCTTCACATTCCCAAGATGTTTCGCTTGATAAAGGTATGTAGATTGGTATTATATATATTCTTTGCCTTGTCATCCATATGAACTCCCCAAATCAGTGGATAGTTAATATATTCTATTGAAGCTGTTAAAAATGATGTATTGATATCGGATCAGACCTGTGTCTTAACCCAAATATAAAAAAATATAGGTATACCTTGCAGAGTGATATATAGACATATATGAACAAATACAAGAATGTTATCATAAATCTATATACATATTAACAATATGGCAAACCAGGGACGTATAATGGAGTCTGTATACAGTCCCTGGGCAAACCAACTTAACATTAAACATCTTCTATACTTTGTGTCTCATACATTATACATTGACGGCGTTATAATTAATAATCTGGCAAATATCTTATTTACAATTGAACTATTTAATACAGTCCGATTTATGAAAGATATCTCAGTTACACTTAATTATTAACCTATCAATAAATTATGTTAGATATTAATTCGTTAAAATTACAGGTACACCGCGTCACCCCAGGTTTTTTCGCGCCGTGTTTACACGAACTACTAGGACATACGATTTGTCACACTACTACTCTAGTGAGGCATTCGGTTACAAGCTAACCCAGGCGATATGTAATTACAACAGCATATTTAATATAAGTAACTTCTGTTTGTTTATGTATTTTTTATTGTATTATTGTTTCATGGTGACTGTTTATCTCTGTTATCTGTTGTGATATGTACATTTTCATGTTCCTGTCTTGATAAAGGGGCAGATCGCCCTGAACATTTGACAAATTGCTTTGTCTGCACTGCCGTTATTACTTCTTTCCCCATATATCTATTTAAGTAATACGCATCCAACCAACATTTTTCGAATCCAGTGCTGATATTGGATCTTACTGTCGTTATTACTTACAACACCTGTATTAAATTATGAAGACAGACCCGTCTTTGGGTATTAAATGTTTAGGTTGACTTGTCATATAGCAATGATAACGTAATTCATAAATGTAATAAGCTGTTTTTATGTTGTCGTGAATGCACTACAGCGGTAGTAACGTTTTGGTAATAGAAATAAAATTGGTATATACGAGTAACATTGTCTACATATTCTAACCAATTTCATAGTGTATTAATGATAATGACAATATCATCACAACAACTTATGATAAAATATCTCCTCGTGACGCGGTCATGAAAGGAGTATTGAGTACTGTATTATTTCGTTTTAATTGATGTCAAATACACAACGCATACGCATCGCTCTCTCAAACCTTCCTCAATACCATCCAAATACACGCCCAATCATGTATATCCACCATTACAAACATGTAAACTGCCAATAACGCAACCACGAAATCCGAGGGATATACCTGTTCTCTCTACACGATATGTTTTGCATCCTATTAACACATTTGGTCATTAAAGGACGTGTCAGGTTTCGATGGTGGAGGAAAGGCGGAGTACCCGGAGAAATAACATAGACCTGCGGATAGTTCCTTGCGACTGCTCCACATAGGCCTCGAATCCGCTACCCAGTGATGTTGGGCTAGTGATGTCAGAGCCTTTACCTCTCGGCCACCGTGACACCAAAGTGTTATATAAAACTTTGAAATACGTCTTGACAAAATGTAAGCTTTTTCTGCGCCGCCTTTCGAAAGATACGGTTTGGCTTGCCTATAAAATGGTTCAAAATCATGAATACGTTGCACATGTGGCTTCTTTTGTACATAATATAATGAATTTGCGACAACATATAATGTAACAGAAAAAATGATCGTCTTTGCTTTTGGTGTAGTTCCGCTGTAATTTTCAAAGGACTGGTGTCAGCCTAGCGATTGGTCAGCTTTTTTGTAACGTCTCGGACCAATCAAATGGCTGGTAGGGAGTCTTCGTCTTTGTCATGACATATTCCATGGATGCAGAAAGGAACCTTGGATTTCGAAGAAGCATACAACATTTCCCAATACAATAGTTCTAGATTTAATAAATTCCATTTAACGAATAAAAATTCAACGCATAGACACATAACAATCGTTTGGCACGTCACGAAGTCGATAAAATGAAGTACTATGAAAAATTGCATGAGGAGCACTTTGGTAAGTGACCATTATAACCAAGGTTGTAACATGCACTTTTGGCACATTTACTTTAAGTATTAGTTGATAAGATATTAACTATTTCACCACTGTAGATCATAATCGACTCAACCAGATCAATGCATGGGAGAGTCTACTGGAGTGAAAGGGTTAATGTCGAAATCCAGATAATGAGTCACAGGCCGATGAGGTCATTTGAACTTGTATTATTTGATGAATGTGATTCATCAAAGGAATAGGTCGTGTTCCTTTATTAACATATCATGCGAAAAGTGTATCTGATTTATCTATGATCACTATGTTAAGATTGGCAGGTATGTATTTGGAATATGAAACGTATCAAAGAAATGTCAACTTTCACCCATCAGAGCCGAGGAAGTTTGCATAATATATCATGAAAGACCTTTTTTTGCTGAAATGTGATTCTGAGGAATATTCATGATCATGGTTATTTTTACATCCCCATACATGTAGTTAGTTTATGGACGTCTTCATTTGTTTTAATTGTATACATGTGTAATCCGTCCTACGCTAGTATCCGATCGGAATTTAGCGTCCTCGCAACAGCCAAGGGTCAAATGAGAACGGGTACCTAGAAGTACGCCGCTGGAAAGAGAAAATAGATAGGATAGAAAGGAGAAAAAAAAGAAAGAATACATGAAGGATAGGAATCGATAAGGATCCCACGTGTTACAATGGAGGATGCAGATAAGTGTTGGTCTCTTTAGTAGAAGACCCTCCCCCCATCCCAACATCAGCAACCTCAGACTCTACCTTACATTAGTCGCCCCTTATAAATCACACGCAGTGGGACACAGCAGGTCTAATATTGCTACCCCACCACTGTCCCTTAAACGGACGACATGGAATAAACCATTCCCGATCCTGCAATGAGATGGGGGCCCATTAGTCGCCTCTTCCGATCATGCCGTGTGATACAGCAAGCCTAGTATTCCCCCGAACATGTACGGGTTAAACAGTTGCTGTTCAGTATCAGTTACTGTTGGGTACAAATTTCTGTGCATTTTTCCATTATCTGTCCGACACCAGTTACCTTAAATAATTTGTGTACATATACATGCATTTAGATTGATTGTAATTTACACCATATATAGACGCCAGTTTATGCAATGGAATTCATGTAAATTCAGTGTTATTTTTAGAAATTATCGAGTGATTGTTTAATGGCATGTATTGCTGTATATAGAATACCATAAAGATAAGCCATAACGTTTATTATCCATTTTACATGACAGTCTAAGCCAGTGATAAACATGTAGGTCAATTATTAATACACTGGCAAGCCAGGTTTACTGAAAAAAGTCAGATTAATATTTTGATGTTATCCTTTATATATATGAGGTTTATTTTTTATATTATGATAAAGGTTAGCTTTGTTCGTTGGTGTTTTTTTATAAATTGTTTTTGTTTTTTGATGTTCTGGCAAATGTTAGGTTCAACCTTTAATGTATCTGTTCTACTACGTGTGGGGTTGGACGTTTGATGTACGTGTGGGGTTGAACGTTTGATGTACGTGTGGGGTTGGACGTTTGATGTACGTGTGGGGTTGGACGTGATGTTCTGGCAAATGTTAGGTTCAACCTTTAATGTATCTGTTCTACTACGTGTGGGGTTGAACGTTTGATGTACGTGTGGGGTTGAATGTTTGATGTACAATGTACGTGTGGGGTTGAACGTTTGATGTACAATGTACGTGTGGGGGTGAACGTTTGATGTACAATGTACGTGTGGGGTTGAACGTTTGATGTACAATGTACGTGGGGGGTTGAACGTTTGATGTACAATGTACGTGTGGGGGTGAACGTTTGATGTACAATGTACGTGTGGGGTTGAACGTTTGATGTACGTGTTTGGTTGAACGTTTGCTGTACGTGTGAGGTTGAACGTTTGATGTACAATGTACGTGTGGGGTTGAACGTTTGATGTACACTGTACGTGTGGGGTTGAACGTTTGATGTACGTGTTTGGTTGAACGTTTGCTGTACGTGTGGGGTTGGACGTTTGATGTACAATGTACGTGTGGGGTTGGACGTTTGATGTACGTGTGGGGTTGAACGTTTGATGTACGTGTGGGGTTGGACGTTTGATGTACGTGTGGGGTTGGACGTTTGATGTACGTGTGGGGTTGGACGCTTGATGTACGTGTGGGGTTAGACGTTTGATGTACGTGTTGGGTTGGACGTTTGATGTACGTGTGGGTTTGAACGTTTGATGTACGTGTGGGGTTGAACGTTTGATGTACGTGTGGGGTTAGACGTTTGATGTACGTGTGAGGTTGGACGTTTGATGTACGTGTGGGGTTGAACGTTTGATGTACAATGTACGTGTGGGGTTGAACGTTTGATGTACGTGTGGGGTTGAACGTTTGATGTACGTGTTTGGTTGAACGTTTGCTGTACGTGTGGGGTTACACTGTTGATGTACGTGTGGGGGTAGGACGTTTGATGTACGTGTGGGGTTGGACGTTTGATGTACGTGTGGGGTTGAACGGTTGATGTACGTGTGGAGTTGGACGTTTGATGTACAATGTACGTGTGGAGTTGGACGCTTGATGTACAATGTACGTGTGGAGTTGGACGTTTGATGTACGTGTGGAGTTGGACGTTTGATGTACGTGTGGGGTTGAACGTTTGATGTACAATGTACGTGTGTGGTAGAACGTTTGATGTACGTGTGGGGTTGAACTGTTGATGTACGTTTGGGGGTAGGACGTTTGATGTACGTGTGGGGTTGGCCGTTTGATGTACGTGTGGGGTTAGACGTTTTATGTACGTGTGGGGTAAGACGTTTGATGTACGTGTGGGGTTGCACTTTTGATGTACGTGTGGGGTTAAACGTTTGATGTACGTGTGGGGTTGGACGCTTGATGTACGTGTGAGGTTGGACGTTTGATGTACGTGTGGGGTTGCAC